TCCCAAGCTGTGCTCTTCCGTCCCTTCGCATGACCATGTGTCATCTTTCGGCAGCGGAAAAGTCCACCCCATAGGTGGAACATCCCGGTCCCTGTTACCCACCATGTCCAGGTGGCGGTGTGGCTGCAGCGTCAGTTTTCTTCCTCTTGGTCGGGTCATCCGGGTCCTGATTGGGCCGCTTGAGGAGCCCGTGGAGCTGATTTTTCTGCTCCTCGGTGAGGGAGATTCCCAAACTGTGTACAAGGCTCGCCATTGCCGTCAGGCAATTCGGCCGGTGCTGGTGTTTTGTTGATGGCGGTCATATAGTCCTGGGATAGCTTGTGGAGTGCTTTCTGCCCGTCAGCCAATTTGCCCTGGAGGTCTTGCATGTCAGCTAGGAGGGAGGCGTATTGGGCCTTGACTCCATCAATCTTCTCCTGCAGCTGGTTCTTCCGTATGGACATGGCTTTGAGGTCTGTGACCTGGCTTTTGAGCTTGGTGGCAATGTCGCGCTCAGAGCATGGTTCTGGTGCCGTGAGTTTGGTCACGATTTGTTGGACCTGTGGCGGCAAAGCATCCATATGCGTCTTCAAAAGATCAGTGAGCTCTGGTTCCTCTGGTTTTGTGGGACCGATGCCGAGAGCTTGGAGCTTGTTCTGGGTGTCCTCCGGTAAGCTGGCCCAACTGCTATTGAGGAGTTCTGTCGCTTCTTGTTGCACCTTTGTCCTTTTCAATGGCCTGATTTTCGTGAGGCCTGGCGGGGTGTCCAACCACGTCGGCTGAGGTGTGTGCTTGTTGGCTGGTCGTCCATAGCCTTTGCCTTTCCCATTTCGTGGTGTCGTGTCTGGCCACCAGGTGCCGCATCTTCTACATTTGGTTCCAGCTCTGACCTTGTCAGTCCAGATCCAGTTGTAGCAGTCTGGTTTCGAGCAGGTCATGTACGCACGTCCCCATTGTGGCGTCATACTCCTGGATCAGGTGGGGTGTTGAGGCGTCCAGGTATTCAACCAAGAAGGGCAACCTGGGTGGCTCCGATCCCGATCAGGCCTGTGGAAACCGCAAGGTTGTAGGCCAGTATGGTTCAAGAAATCCCGCAAGTTGAGGCACCGGTCTCAAAGGCCAGGTGGAAACAGTTCACCTCCTCTGTGACAGTCTCTATCACGGGAATAGTCCAGGGCCACCGGGGAACGCAAAGGAGTAGGGTTGCCGAGGAAATTCACACGTGATATGTGTGTAGCGCGGTGCCGCGGGAGGCGCACTTGGTCGGTTTTTGGGGACGACCTTGAGAGCTCACGGCCTTGAGCCATGCATGTATGCATGTATGCATGTATGCATGTATGTATGTATGTATGTATGCATGCATGCATATATATATATGTATGTATGTATGCCACCAAACCGCAGTGGTTCTTGGGCTTCTGTCATGTGGGTTTGCAGGCGCTCTTCAAACTCGTTGCCGCAAACGCTTGAGGATCGAAACTTCAGCGAAGCCTGGATGCCTTTCTCCCCACTGCGTATTTAATCCAATCGACTGTTTGTGGAGCGAGTGGTCATCTTGGAGTTACAATGAGGCCAGTTGCCATGGGACAAAATACAACGAAACTGCAATGATTGCATCTTGGATTGCTGTTTGTTGGAACGAATTGAAAACGAACACTTTAAGTTATGCTCGAGGCAAAGTAATTGCATGGTTATGAGTTTGTGAACATATTCAGAGTATTTCAGAGTGATTTCTTGGCTCTTGGAAGTTGGCAATTCAGAAACCAAAAGCCTCGCTTGCTTCATGTGTTTTGCCAGGGTGGCAACTCGTTGGGCCAATCCTTGCGCTTTCGCCGCGTCATCACTAACGCGAAGGAGGGGCTTCCAAGTGATGCCAATTCCGAACGGTGCGACTGGGTGTAACCTGACTGAAGAGAGGAACAAGGGATCATACTATACTGTCGGCAAACCATGCAGGACGGCGGCAAGCCTTGCCTTGGCTTTTGGAACGAAACCCGACCCTTCTCCGAACCGAATGAGATCGACTGTCAGTGGAATCTGCTGCTGGGCTGAAGGGAAGGGCCAGGAAGTCGAACCGGGAAGCCCGAATAATTGACTATAGGACCTTTTCGGGTGCTTGGATCACTCCGCGCTTCAGATTCGCATCACTCCCGAGGTGGAGTGAGTGGACGGAGTGCACGGCCAGCTGTGGTGGTGGCACTCGCTCCCGGCACCGGGATATCAGCGCGCACGCGAAGAATGGCGTCGCCTGTGAGGGTCCCTTGCGGGTCACCGAACCCTGCGGCGCGTCACTGGGCAAGAAGGGATGTTGGTGCCGCAATTGTTAGCTCCAAAAGATTTTGGAAGACGAAATATTTGGAAGAGGGAACACAAGTCTAGACGTGGCAAGCCGCACAGGTTCAGCTGTGGGCCTTCGAGACCTCCTCTCATTGGTCCCTGGACCGAGTGGGAAGGCTGCTCCGGCGAGTGCCCCACCGAGTTCATGCGGGAACGTGCGAACGTGCAAGCATGGGTCAGAACGGCTGTGTGGAAAGAGGGGGAAACTGTGCCTTGTAGATTGTAGATCTTTGTAGGGTGTTGGGGTCCCTCAATTCAAATCAACACAAAGAAAGAGCCAATCTCTTGATCCACAACCAAACAAAGCAATAGTAAGTACTTGTGTGACGATGCAGATTCATGTGAAGATGGAAGATGGCCATATGTTTACGAATAGGAAGAAACGATGAGGTGACACATCCATGCACATTGTGTTTTACTTGTACTTCTACTTCCTTTGGACCAGGAGATGTAAGTTGTGGCCGCGTTTTCTCATTTTTCGCAAGAGGAATACATTTGTACAGTACACTTTTGTCCCGCATAGACTAAAAAAGGTGCATGTTTGTTGCCGAGACCCGCGTCTCCAGGTATCCCATGCAACGCTTCCGTGCGAGGAAGATCGAGAAGCCCCCATCAGGAGACTTCGACATGGAGCCCTTGACACTGATGGAGACGTCTTTGTGCGACAAGGTGGAGAGAGTTTGCCGTCGTTCTCAGTCAATGAAGATAATTTTGCAGAGGGTTTTACTGTATGTTTTCCTCCACGATCTCCATCACCCCTTCAATATTTATAAGGGAATTCACTTTCCTATCTCTTCGTGGTCAGGGCCATGAAGTCAAGCTCTTGTGGGTCAGGATTTTTCTTGCTATATATATATAGTCCTTGAAGCCTTGTCGCATAATATGGTTCACATGTAGCCAATCCTATTTCCTAAGCAACAAGCGGACGGAGCGCAGGGGAATCATTCAGTCTGCGTCAGCCCTGATTTTGAAGCCTTTCTTTCATTTTTCCCCAAACAGTTTACTGTTAGGGGTTCTCAATTCTTTCTTAAGATGTGTCCGCCCTTTGTGTCACTGCTGGTGTCCGCCCTTTTCCGCCGGCCATGTAGCATTTCTATTCATTTGTCTCCCAGGTCTGTCACTGCTGGCGTCCGCCCTTTTCCACTGGCCATGTAGCATTTCTATTCATTTGTCTCCCAGGTCTGTCACTGCTGATGTCCGCCCTTTTCCGCTGGCCATGTAGCATTCTATTCATTTGTCTCCCAGGTCTGTCACTGCTGGTGTCCGCCCTTTTCCGCTGGCCATGTAGCATTTCTATTCATTTGTCTCCCAGGTCTGTCCCTGCTGGTGTCCGCCCTTTTCCGCTAGCCATGTAGCATTTCTATTCATTTGTCTCCCGGGTCTGTCGCTGCTTGTGTCCGCCCTTTTCCGCTGGCCATGTAGCATTTCTATTCATTCCCCAAACAGTTTACTGTTTGGTGTCCGCCCTTTTCCGCTGGCCATGTAGCATGTCTATATATTCATTTGTCTCCCAGGTCTGTCACTGCTGGTGTCCGCCCTTTTCCGCTGGCCATGTAGCATTTCTGTTCATTCCCCAAACAGTTTAACTGTTTGGTGGCCGCCCATTTCCGCTGGCCATGTAGCATGTCTATTCATTTGTCTCCCAGGTCTGTCACTGCTGGTGTCTGCTGGTGTCCGCCCTTTTCCGCTGGCCATGCAGCATTTCTATTCATTTGTCTCCCCAGGTCTGTCACTGCTGGTGTCTGCCGGTTTCCGCTGGCCATGTAGCATTTCTAGTCATTTGTCTCGCAGGTCTGCCACTGCTGGTGTCCGCCCTTTTCCGCTGGCGATGCAACATTTCTATTCATTTGTCTCCAGGTCTGTCGCTGCTGGTGTCCGCCCTTTTCCGCTGGCCATGTAGCATTTCTATTCATTTGTCTCGCAGCCGTCCTGCTGGTGTCCGCCCTTTTCCGCTGAAAATGCATTCCGCCTTTGTCTCCCAGGTCTTTCTGCTGCTGGTGTCCGCTGTCACTGGTGTCCGCCCTTTTCCGCTGCTGGTGTCAGCTCTTTTCTGTTGGCCATGTAGCATGTCTATTCATTTGTCTCCCCAGGTCTGTCACTGCTGGCGTCCGCCCTTTTCCACTGGCCATGTAGCATTTCTATTCATTTGTCTCCCAGGTCTAGGTCTGTCACTGGTGGTGTCTGCCCCTGGCCATGGCCCATGTAGCATCTCTTTTCATTTGTCTCCCAGGTCTGTCGCTGCTGGTGTCCGCCCTTTTCCATTGGCCATGTAGCATTTCTGTTCATTTGTCTCCGAGATGTGTCACTACTGTTCCCGCCCTTTTCCGCTGGCGATGCAACATTTCTATTCATTCCCCAAGCAGTTTGCCGTTACGTAGGGTTTCTCAATTCTTTCTTAAGATGTGTCCGCCCTTTCTGTCAGTGCTGGTGTCCGCCCATTTCTGCTGGCCATGCAGCATTCAATTCGTTTGCCCTTAAAATGATTTCTTTACTTTTGTCTCCCAGGTTCGGTGCCTGCACTGCTGGCATCCGCCCTTTTCCCCTTTCCAGAATTTCTGTTCATTTGTCTCCCAGGTGATTTCTGTACTTCACCAAACAGGCTACTGTTAGGGGTTCTAAATGCTTTCTAAGAGTCTCCGCTGCCGGACAGCGTGTCCGCCTTCCGGCCGGCTTGTCTCCCTTGGTCTCCCTTCTTGTTGGTCACTGTGTCCCCCTTCTTGTTGGTCACTGTGTCTGCCTGGTCTCCCTTCTGTTTCATTTTGTCTCCCTTCTTGTCTCCCTTCTTGTTGGTCACTGTGTCCGCCTTGTCTCCCTTCATTCTTTCTTTGTCTCTGGTCTTGTCTCACTTCTTGTGGGTCATTGTGTCCGTCTTGTCTCCCTTCTCTGTGCTTTTGTCTTCCTTCTTGTCTCCCTTCTTGTTCATCATTCTGTCCGTCTTGTCTCCCTTCTGTTTCCTTTTGTCTCCCTCTTGTCTCCCTTGTTGTCCCCCTTCTTGTTGGTCATTGTGTCCGCCTTGTCTTCCTTCTTTCCTTTACATTTGCCTCCCCTCTCGCTTGCAACCCTTCACATTTGTCTCCCAGCTGCTCTGCCCTGCAATATTACATTTGTCTCTCAGCTCTGGGCTGCGTGTCGCTTGCAATCCTTTACATTGTCATTTGTCTCCCGTGTCTCCCAGCTCTGGACTGCTGTGTCCGCCTCTGCCTTGCAATCCTTTACATTGTCTCCCAGCTCTGGGCTGCTGCGTCCGCCTCTGCCTTGCAATCCTTTGTCTCCCAGCTCTGGACGTCGCAAACTCTAGTTGCAGAGTGTTCCGATATTGAAAAACACAAACTGTTTTGGGGTCGACGGCGGTGTCATGTGTCTTTAGATGTACCAACTCAACCTGAAGTCAACTTGCACTTTATCCCAGATAAACATGCGTATCATATGGAGTGTTGGCTGAATCATAGGACGTTTTCAGACTGGGACTTTTCCTATCGCGAGAGGAGAAGGGTAGAATGGTGTAAATAGATGAATTAAGCAATATATATATATATATATAAGAAACTACTAGCAGCAGAGGGCATCGCTACTAGGAACAAACACGCTACTAGGGGCTCCTGGCCATACTACTAGGAGCAAGGACGCTACTAGGGGCTCCTGGCATCGCTGCATATATAGATAGTGGCAGTGACCCAAGACTCCATGCGAAGCCGCTTGTTCAGAAGCCAGCGATCGAGTGCATCATGTCTCAATGGACCATTTGGACACCTTGCACGGCTACCTGCGGTGGACAGTCTATGAGGAGATTGAACGTTTTATGTCTTTTGCTGTTTGCTTAGTTTACTTTGCCCACTTGTCATGCTGCCTGTGGTGACTTTCCAGCCCCTTTGCTTGGAGGGATTGTGTTGATCGCAGGACGCGTGGAATCGACGAAGAGAAGTCGCCCGAAGCCTGCAAACTGAACTTTACCAAGATCTTTGGGGGCAGGTCGCCCATGACCGGCACGATGACCGGCATGACGACCGGCATGACGACCGGCATGACCGAAGCCCATTATGGGGAGCCTGAAGGGCCCGAAATGGAAATGGATAGCTTGCAGATCTATTGGAAGGACAGCAGCCTGCTGACCTGAAGCATGCTGGTTTGACTTCGCAAGCACTGGGTAGCAGGGAGGCAAGAGTTTGAAGTCTTCCCAAGCTCCATTCTTGGTACAAACTGTAATTCTGGAGCATTCATGGGCTTGCTTGGAGGCCATCGCTATTAGTTTGGAGGCCATTGAAGTAGGTTGGAGGCCATCGTGTCCAGGAGATTCGTCCTTGTGGCCAGCAGCATTGCATGGATGTGGTGGAGTCAGAGTCACTTGGTGGCACAGTGTCCGCAAAGTGCCAGCCGCATCCGAGCAAGGGATGCAAATCCACACCAAGTGAAGAAAACAAGAGGTTTAGAATTCCTCTACCATACACTCAAAACACCTGGGGCCTTTTTCCGAGGAGAAAAGACGCAGTTGCTTTTTTGTTCAATCACCGAGGTCACCAAACCACTCTTGCATTCCTCTTTCTCTCCCAAAGGGGCGCGACTGGCTCCAGGCTCTCGCAGTGGTCGGAGTGGACGATTTGCAGCCGGAAGTGTGAGTTGGGCACCACCGAGCGAAGCCGACAAATTGTGAAGGAGGGCTCTGGCGGCTTGGGGGCTGGTTTGGCTTTGAAGGAGGTGCGGGACTTGACGGAGAGCTTCTTTTTGGGTGGGTCAGGTAAGAGGTAATGGAAGGTCTGTTCAGTTTGTTGAGCATCTTGATGAGCTCGCAGGTGAACATTTTTTTAGAGTTTTTCTGAATGGAATGATTTTTCATCAGTTTGGCAACACACTGCTTTTACAGTTGCTGAATTTTTTGCTTAGCCGAACTTGTTCTGCAAAGGTAAAGGGCTGCATGACAGACTGCGGGGAGGTCGATTGCAGGCCGTGCTGTGATACTTTCTGGCCAAGAATATCAGCCTTTATTTTTGAACTCAGCTTTTGATTCAAGCTTGGCCGGCCTAGATGGAAAGAAAGACCTAAACTCGCAACGTTTTGCTATCTTTCTACCAGCATCATCCAGGTCCTGCGTTTGAAAAACCACGAAGCAGACTTGCTCACACAGTGATCTCCGACCAGTAGACCATCAGTATGTTTTTGTTTTTCAGGAGCTCATCGAAACAGTTTGGTGTCTGAAGATTGATTGGAAGGTGATGTGCATGCTCCAAGAAAGCTCGTCCTTGGGAATGTTTTGCTCGACAAGTCAGCGTCTGTCGTTGCCTTTTTTTTTGTGTCGTGGTAGGTGGGGCAACTGGGATGTTTGGAGTGCCTGCAGCTGCACCTGCGCCGGTGGCACCAAACGCCGGAACCGAGTGATTGCTCAGGCCGTGGGCGGGTGTGAACGACTGTGGTGGGCTCGACAGACTCGAATGTCCTCACTTTTGCAAGCCACAAGCAGGGCAGCATGGTCGTCGGGTCCTGTTTGGAGAAAGCGTGTGATCGTGTGCTTAGAGTTAGAGTCAGAGCAGTTCAGCTGGAGCACCTTTTGTGCTTGAAGGCTTGAAGGCTTTTGCAGTTCTGCATGGACGGGTACATGTACAGCAGTGTAGACAACTACAGAGGTATGTAATAGAGGAAAGAAACTGTGTTGCTCCAAGTCTTTCAGTCTGCACATCTGTTTTTTCTGGCGAGGCACCTCGCCATGGCGGAAAGATGTGCGAGGCGGTGGACAAGTCAGAGGCCACTTAGGGGGCCAAAAGGAGGCCAAACCTCCCTGGCAGAAACAACGATTTTGACAGGTTGGGGTGCTTTTGAGTGGGTTCCGTTTGGTCCTGTTCAAAGACTCCTGGTTTGGGTAGGTAGAAAGACCTCACCAGTGCAAGGGTGCAACATGGTGCAACTGTGAACAGTTTTGGAGAAGAATCCGTGAGTTTTGAATGAGTAAAACGGGTCATTCTTGTCTTTGAACAAGGGCATCGCTACTAGTAACAAGGGCATTACTACTAGTAACAAGAAGGCTACTGGTAACAAGCGTGTCACCCCGAGCAGAAGCTCGAAAAGCCGCAAAGTCCTGTGGCAGGTGGCGCCTTGCAACACTCAGAGCTGTGATGCTTGCATCGATGGCGCTTGGGGGAACTGGGGCGAATGGTCCAAGTGCACCTCCACCTGCGACAGCGGCTTCCGTGTGCGACACCGAGATGTCATCCAAAGGCCCAACAGTTGCGGTAAGCCTGCAGTGGGTGCCCTGGTGAAGAAATTGATCGAAGGCGGTTGGCGGTTGGGAAATGCCTAAGTTTTCGAAAGCTCTTTTTTTTAAATCTTTTTTTAATGGCCTCCAACCTACTAGCGATGGCCTCCAACTTACTCTTCCTTTTATTGCACTGACCTGCGGGACACTTGTCACAACACCAAGGACTGGAGGATGAGTACCAGGTGTGCACTGATCAGCCACCTTGCACCGCCGACAGCGACTGCTTGCTGGCTGAGTGGGGTGAGTGGTCGGCGTGCTCCTGCAGCTGCTACGGTGTCAAGGAGCGTCATCGGCGCATCGAGCAGTTTGCCAAGGCTGTGGTCTGGGTGTGTGTGGAATCTGCTTTTCTCCCCAGGTAGAGCACCTACAACATAATGTATCGCAATGTCGCTGCTACCATCCCAATCATTGATTTCTTATGGCTTGAGTCGCAACAAGTTATAGTCAGCAAATCCTAGCAACACTTGTTTTGGAGTCACGACTTCCCATCATTGCCAGGGCAATGGCAAGTCCTGCGGCGCAGTTGCTCTTGGGCACTCCATGACGACGATGAATCAGTGGGACAATCAGGGAGGCTATGCCTCGCAGAACGGCTATACCTCGCAGAACGGCTATACCTCGCAGCGAGTGACCATTTCTGGAGGCTTTGCAGCCTTGGAGGAGGTGTCAGCTTGCAACCCCTTGCCTGGAGGCAAGCTTTGTGGAGGTTTGAGAGGAATGCGGTGTTGTGTGGTTAAGATTTTTTGGTGTGAAGAGTTGGATTCGGTTGTGTTCAGTCGGTTGGTCATTCACCATGGAACATGAATTGCATGAGCTGACTCTGGTAGGCCTCGCACCACTGCACTGTGGACCTTTGCAGAAGCGTCCTTGCGATTTTGCTCCGTGGGGGGAGTGGGGCGAATGCTCAGCCACCTGCGATGGCGGAATGCGCGAGCGCAGCCGCCACATCAAAACGCCCAACAGCAACGATGGGGTGCGGAGCCATGCGGGAACGACGTTTGTTTTCGACACACTTTAGCTCATGTGGACTTCAAGCTCGGCTCAGTTTAAGAAGGGCTCCAGGTGAGACTTTCCATTTTGCACCTTTTTAAGCCTCTGGTCACTCTGGTCCTAGGCCTTGAAGACTTTCATTCATTTAGACTCAAAGATTATTGCCACTAGCGCTGTGCTTGCAGGCTCCCTGCGACGGCCCAGTGGAGCAACTTCAAGGCGCCTAGGGCCTGAGTGCTTCGGGCCTCACCTCCCTTGGTGACTCGTCCTTCATTTTTGGATAGTTCTGAAGCCATGTCTACGGATCAAAACACAAACAGCTAAGAGAACATCCGTTTGAGCTTTGGAGAAGTGCCCAGGTGCTGTTGATCGCTGAATTTTCCCGTCTAAGAAGCACTAGTGCTTTTCCTTTCTGACAGGCTGTGGCTCCGTTGCGTGCGAGCAGAAGATTTGCAAGGACTACTGACAAATCACGGGACCACCGCTTCCCTCTATATATACAAGCATCCATACTCACATATTGTCACACAAACATATAAGATTTGGAAGATCCTTACTTGGGATATCTCCCCAAAGCTTCGATTACAGTTGCTTCTTTGTCCTGCGCTGATCCTGTACTGTCGCAAAGAGTTCTTGTTGTTATGCCTGGCCTGTGAATACGGCAGTAGACTGTTGAAATGACAGTGACCGTTTCATCTCACCATACCATGCTTCGTCAAAGCTTCGTTGCTGTCAACGACTCATCCGCCACGCCAGGACTGTGTTTGGGGTGCTTGGTCCGACTGGGGTGATTGCTCCAAATGTGGTGGTCAGCGCTACCGCCAGCGTAGTGTCATCCGGATGCCCAACGATGCTTGTCTCAGGGAGATGGTCGGAAGGCACTGTCAGACCATGAAATAGAGTTAAATATCCCTGTGCGCATTTTCACTGGAGAATGCTGGGCCTTATGGCCACTAGAAAATGTTTTTTTTTCTTTTTCTAGTAACCTATATTTGGTGATTTGGAACAAAACCACCCATTTACTATAAATTGCAATGTTGATGAAGCCCAAATAGGGATCATGACCTTGAAGGCCACAAACATAAACATCTTTGATATGTCATTTTTCCACTTTCTAGTGAGTCTTTGTTTTTTTTTACTGTTAGCCTTTGGAATCTATGTCCTTCTATTTTCTAGTGGGGTGCACACCCATTTTCCAGTGTCAGATCCATGTCCCGCAATTTAGGTGCTAGAAAATGGGGGACATAACCCCACCTGGGTAATACACACAGGGATAGTTAAATAGAGTTTTGTTGACGGTTGTTTTCTTCTAAAGAGTTGGTCCTTTGACCTGCAAATCTGAAGATTTGCGTATGAACTTGGTCTTTTGACTTATCTAATGTAAACAGGACCCGACGTTTAAACCTTTGCACTGTTGGTGCTGAGGAGTGTGGCAAATTGTGCGACCCATCTGTGGCGAAAGAGGTCGGAGACTGCACCAGCCACTGCGAGGAGGGAACTTTGAGTTTTGGTGGCTTTTGGGCACTCGGTGTCAAGACATGTCAAAAGACAGAGTGACTCGACCATTATTATCTTTGTTTTTTTGGGGTGCCCCTGTCCAAATTGTGCAGGTGTTTTGTAATGAATATGTTTTGCAGTGCGAGTTCCTTGAATTTTCATGACGCAGGATGAAGGCTTTTGCGGCTGGTCGCAGTGGAGTTCTTTAGGCGATTGCAGTTCCACGTGCGGCACTGCTGTCACCTGGCAAGACTGCACTGATCGCTCATCTCTACATAACAGCTTTTTGCAGCCTTTAGCATGTGCTCGTAAGAATGAGTTCCGGTGCCTTTGTCCTTCATAGCCTCCCGTGCTGCTATTAGAAGCTCGTTTGGCCACTGGCAAGGTCCAGATGCGTCAACGTTCCTTGAACTTCATGCACAAGGCGCGGCGTTGCTTCGCGGTCACCAACTCGTAGCCTGATTGGATGCATGATTAGATCCAACAAGGCCTTTGCATTGTTGGTATGGGTATTTGCTGAATGGATTTGAGCCTCGGAATGGCCTCGTTACATCTCGTTACCAGGAAGTGCCTGGAAGCAATGTCTTCATCGGAGTTGGTATGTGCCAACGTGCCTCTTGGCTCCCCAAAAGAGCGAAGTGGGAACAGCCAGTGCCCAGTCCAATTGATCTCCACCAGAATGGGTGAGATGGATGACTATCACAATTTCTTCGCAGCAGAGGCCATCGCAAAATTGTGCAGAGAAGGTAGGTGTGACCTGCAACTATCTAGATATGTAGTTTATGATAGCTTTATTTCTATTTTTTGGTGCACTTTTGGGGTCACAAGACTCATCTTCAGACCTACAGTCATCAAAGCGGAAACAGACGAAAGGTTACTGCGATGCTGGTGTTGTCAACGATACACAACTGTAAAGGATTTCCCCCCGATCAAGACCCCCCACTATGTTTGGAAGGTTCTCCATGAAACTCTAGGGCTTTGATGCTCCTGGCTTTGCAAGGAGTTGTCACCAAAAGCTTGTGAGCTGAAAAACAGAGTCTCCTTTGTTCTTGTTCAACCTCCGTTTTCTGAGCTTTGATGGCTTTGATCGTCCTTGTGAGGACAATGCTTACTTCAAAAGTTACCGCGTGAATGGCGCAACAAGTGAAATGCAATGCCTTGGCGTGCTGGAAAACACCAACAAAGCCACAGCCATTGTGCGAGGGGTCCAGTGACTTGACTGCTAAATCGCCTGACATATTTGTCTCTCCGTTTGGTATTGTCATGGTCGACACTTCTCATGTTGGCTCTTTTGTTGAATGATGTGTATTTGGTATATAGTTATATAAGTTATATATATACACACTTAGTTTCATATATACACATATGTTTGCACTACTGTACTCAACTTAGGATCTATCAAATGGCAGGGCTTTCATACCTTAGACAAATGTTTTCGATATTCGAGCTACAATGAGCTCAGGTTTAACCAGGTGGATCAGGCGTGCGATCTTGCTGTGGCTTGGCCTGTGGGCCTGTGGGAAGTCTAGCAGTTGAACCTTTGGGCTTTGCATCTTTGCCACAGCCGAACTCTGGTCACCAGTTGGCCACAAGAGGCTGACTTTGACCGGGTAATTTGTTTTCCATACTTTCCACCCTTTGAAGCCACTCTCTCAGGTGACAAGGCAACGTACTGTTTCTATTGTAGCTGGTCAATTCGAGGATGGCTGTTGGATCTCATTGACCGTATCTTTCTATTCACCAAAAAGACTCTCTCTCTCTCTTTGGACAAACTGATGTTGACCATGCTCCTTTGAAAGTCCAACTTGCTGCAAATTCCTTGTGTCGCGACTTAGCATGGAGGTTTCTTGCCGCATCCTGTTCTCCGATGCTGGCAGATCCCAGTGATTGGACCATGGGTGGTGGCTACAGTTTTGTTTTTGCTGCACTTTGATAACCCAGGTCGACGACAACGTGGTTCTTGAACCCTACATGTTCAGCCACCCCGTTGACATCCATTTGAATGGACAAATGGGCGGAACTGATCCAACTCAAGGTGCCTTAGCAAAGCACAAAGTGACCATTTTGGAGTCAAATAATATGAACTAAAATGACTGAAATCACATCGTCCTGTGCGTTCTTTTTCATCATAATGTCTGAGCGCCTGCTGGTTGAATCAGGTGATATTACTGGAGTTGACGGCACAATGGGCTGGAAGTGCTGGAAGAGGACTGCCAGGGAGAGCATTTTTTACGTGTCTGGAAACTGGTATGGTGAGAGGCATCATCTCAGGGTCGCGAAAGAGCTTTCTGGGTTTGCCAGCACTTGTAATGCCCTCAAAACCTTTGCTCCCCTGGAACCACCGGTCCAGCAGCAGACACATTGTATCACCAGTCTTCTGGGTGATGGTGCGATATGCATGATCCTGGTGATTACAGATCCGGCCAGGGTGTCTGGCTACTTCTTCCGCGCTGAGAAGACAAATACCTGTTCTGCCTGGCAGGTGGACGTCAAGGCGACTTCGTGGCAGTTCATGTTTTGTATATATACGCACACTTTAAATAGTTATAATCCCAGGAGCCAGAGTCGAGGTTGGGTCGTCATTTCACAACGCTGTTTTGAAGACGTTTTAATGACAATCTTGGTGGCGATGGCGCTGCTGAGGAGTGTCCATATAAAAGCTGTGAGACCTGCCAACCCGTCGCTTGCGAGTTCGGGGCGTGGTCGGCGTGGAGCGGTGCCAGTTGCACCCAGCTTTGCGACTCGGGCCGTAAATAAGGTTTGAAGTTGAGATTTAGCCCAACTGTTTGTTTAAGTTGAAAAAAGACATACACAACTGGAAGAAAAGAGAACACACTCTCTTGAACACATGTGGCAGAACCAGTGGCATTTCCTGTCTTGTGACTGCGTTCCTGCAGACGAGACGACCTGCCGAGTGTTCAGCGTCGTTCATGGTGTGTTTGCACAGAGTATCCCTGAGGTGAGCGACATCGCGTGATCTCTAAGTGCTTTGGCACCTTTAGGGAAGGATGGAGTATTTTTGGCTGTCAAAGCCAGGAGCCATGGGGACCGGGGTTGTTTTCTAATGGCCTGACCTTCATTGATCAGCTGGGTGTAGTATAGATGTTCTCTGTTTGAAGCAACACCCCGGGATCTTCTGGAGTGTGTGACCGTATTGGCTTGGGTTGTAATTGACGGACCGCCCCTGGATGGACCAAATGCCTGAAACCTTCACTCAAGCCTCATGGTGTTTGTCTTTCAACTGAAAAAGTGCTAGCTGCAGTTACCGTTTCTCCTGAATCAAACTGTATTTGTGAGCCATTCTGAGTAGTTGTACCAAGTCATACTACATTGACCTGTTGAACTTTGATGAAGCAGCGCAGCGCTGTCTGAGGATGAATGAATGTGGCGGTGAAGCTTGCGATGGGCCCTTGATTTCCACCATGCACTGCCGAAAGGACTGCGGCTTCAGCTTCCTACTTCTAGAAAGATTGCGAAGATTGACTTTCTGGTGGACCACAGTGTGGCAATCTTTTGGGAGGATTGCGAAGATCCTGTGGACTGCATTTTTGATGCATGGACAGCCTGGGACTCGAGCACCTGTGAAGGCGCGAACCTATGATGGCTTGAAGCTTACTCACTCAATGTGTTGTCACGAAAGCCAGCTTTTGAAAGCTGGGGTTGAGATCGCTATTTGGTCAGGGTCTCCCAAGATACAGTATATCAGACTTAGGTCCCGCTTTTTTGCTTTTGGAAGGAAAGATGTTGCCCAGTAGTGCAGTTCGATGCACCCTGGTACCTTGTCCGTGAGAAGAAAGAACCGAGTCGGTCCAGAGCTCTCCGCTACCTTTCGTCCACGCTCACTGCTCTCGAGTGAGGATACTTGCACTGTAGAGTCGGTAGAATCACCAAACGATTGCCGGCAAAGGGAAGAAGAACAACATCAGACTTTTCCATGAGGTTCTTATGGTAGAAGCCCAACCTCGGGTGCCTTCTTTTGGAGGGAGCACAATGATCCGTGGGTCCATGCCGGTCCATTGGGGTTTGCCCTACTGTGGAAAACGCACGGCCCAGAACTTGAAGGTCCGCTCTCCTCCTTTTCATGTGAACCAAATTGCAAAGGGGGCCCCATGAGCTGTTGCTTCCAAAGATGCGCAGGCGGCCGCGGTCAGAAGATGCGCAGCCGTAATGTGAAACAGGAGTCTACCAATGGAGGCGACAATGGCTGCTTTGGAATATTGCTGGATGTGATGGATGTGGTCCGCTTGCCAGCGGCCAGATCCAATCATCTTGTTCACGACTTTGGTTTTCGCTCTCAGAAACTCCAATTCGTAGCGCCCTTCCCCTATCATGATCACTGACCATTGAACATGTTGCGAAATAGCACCTGCAAGTTGGACTTCCGCCTTCAAGACATGAGATGCAAATTGCAGTGGGCCAGTGAAGATGGGCCATTAAAGTGAGTTTCTGTTGTAAGCCTTGCTCCTGCAAGATGCAGCTTTCCATTTGGGCTGATGTGAACGTCCACTGTTCCAGCGTGAAGGCAACATGTAGGGTCTTGTGCGCTAGCCGCTAGTGAGTGTCTCGTTGCAGGTCTACCATGTGTGGGGCCCACACAGGAAACAGGTCCTTGCGATGAGCCAATCGAGGACATTGATTGTGTCCTGGGCAGCTGGGAGGCTGGTGATGCTAAAAGAACTCATGCCTTTTGCACAGACGAAATCCATGACATGATTTAGGAACGGCTGTGGGTTTGCACACCGAAGTGACCACTTACGATGAGCATATATCGCTCAATTACCTAATGTTTACGAGAGCTGGAAGCATGTCAAATCACCTTGCAAAAGAAACAGTTGCTGTGACCAGTAGAGAATGAGTCGGCCGAACCCAAGGTTGGTTGGTTCAGGAATCCCTACAGGATGCATAGTATCCATGGGGACCATGCGCATTCCTTTACCTTATAAATGCACTCAATGCACTCAAAGGAAAGCCCTGAGGATGAGCGTGGAAGAAACAAATACGATGGTCGCCGCGTTCGCCTCCCGACGGCAGATGTGGACCCCTTGCAGCAGCACCTGCGGTGTGGGCACCCGAAGCAGGATTCGCGGTGTGGTCACGCCCAAGTCAGGTGCGGGCTGCACGGTGTGGGAGCGCAGAGAGTGCGCACAGGGTGTGGCACTGAAGAGACATTCGAGACTACATTGACAGCTATACAACTTTATTTTTTCTCAAGGGGGCAGCTGCAAAACCATTTTTTCTATATAGATTCTTCCTGTGATTTCACCTGGGTTGTAGTTTGCAAGTATCCTAACCCGGTTCAAGCTGCAGAGTTCGCTGGCAGGTTTTGGAAACCCTTGCGATGGGCCTTTGAAGATTGTGGACGACACTTTGGCAGCTGAATGTGCAGGTGTTTTGTTTTTGATTCTCCGGCTTGGCCTCAGTCGTTCTAATATATGTTCTACAGTTCTACTGGTTTTTCAATCCGCAGTCTGCCAACGACAGTCATCCTGGTTGTTGTAATCGTTGTCGTCGTCAAAATAGCAATAGTAATAGTGGTAATGGTAGTCGTGGTGGTAGCGGTAGCAGTGGTAGCTGTGAGAGTGGAAGTTGTAGATGTGTCACAAGTGGTAGAGTTTTGAGAATGGTAGAATTGAAGCGCTGGCCACAGTTGTAGTTGTTGTCAAGTTTTGGTGATACTGCTGGTGGTAGTGGCGGTGATGGTAGTGGTGGTGGTGGTGGTCGTCGTCGTCATAGTAGTAGCAGTAGGAGTAGCAGTAGCAGTAGCAGTAGCAGAAGCAGTAGCAGCAGTAGTAGCAGTAGTAGCAGTAGTAGTAGTAGTAGTCGCGGTGGTGGTGGTGGTGGTGGTGGTGGTGGTAGTCGTAGTAGTAGTAGGCGTAGGAGTAGGAGTAGGAGTAGGAGTAGCAGTAGCAGTAGTAGGAGTAGTAGTAGTAGTGGTAGTGGTAGTGGTAGTGGTAGTGGTAGTGGTAGTAGTAGAAGTAGAAGTAGAAGTAGAAGTAGTAGTAGTAGCAGCAGCAGGAGGAGGAGGAGGAGTAGGAGTAGGAGTAGGAGTAGGAGTAGTAGTAGTAGTAGTAGGAGTAGGAGTAGGAGTAGGAGTAGGAGTAGGAGTAGGAGTAGTAGTAGTAGTAGTAGTGGTAGTAGTAGTAGTAGTAGTAGGTAGTAGGTAGTAGTTAGTAGTTAGTAGTTAGTAGTTAGTAGTTAGTAGCTAGTAGCTAGTAGCTAGTAGCTAGTAGCTAGTAGCTAGTAGCTAGTAGCTAGTAGCTAGTAGGTAGCAGGTAGTAGTTAGTAGTTAGTAGTTAGTAGTTAGTAGTTAGTAGTTAGTAGTTAGTAGTTAGTGGTTAGTAGTTAGTAGTTAGTAGTTAGTAGTTAGTAGTTAGTAGTTAGTAGTTAGTAGTTAGTAGTTAGTAGTAGTAGTAGTAGTAGTAGTAGTAGTAGTAGCAGCAGTCGTAGTAGTAGTAGTCGTAGTAGTAGTCGTAGTAGTAGTCGTAGTAGTCGTCGTAGTAGTAGTCGTAGTAGCAGTCGTAGTAGTAGTAGTAGTAGTAGTAGTAGTAGTCGTAGTCGTAGTCGTAGTCGTAGTCGTCGTCGTGGTCGTGGTCGTCGTAGTAGTAGTAGTGGTAGTAGTAGTAGTAGGAGTAGTAGTAGTAGTGGTAGTAGTAGTAGTACTACTAGTAGTAGTAGTACTAGTAGTCGTAGTAGTCGTAGTAGTAGTAGTAGTAGTCGTAGTAGTAGTAGTAGTTGTTGTTGTTGTTGTTGTTGTTGGAGCACGACCCCCGGTAGGCCGTGTGTTTTTGTTGCTATTTTTTCGTTTTCGACGGTTTGTATCCCACTTCCAGGTCTTCGTTACATCTCAGACTGTAAATTTTTGGGGTGGGGTGGGGGGGTGGGGCCAAAACAATGACGTCGGTCTACATCGTATCGATCGTCGCATCGTCAGGGTCGCATCGCCCGTCTCGAACGTCGCGTCGGCATGGTCGCAGCGTCCGTTTCGATCGTCGCTTCGTCATGGTCGCTGCGCCGAGCTTTTTTCCCTCAAGGGCCATGGGTGGCCTCAGTTTTGCGGGCGCGCTCGGTTTGTCGTACGTGTTGTTGTTGTTGTGGTTGTTGTTGTTGTTGTTGCGAGTAGGCAAGTTTAGGGATATCGGAGAACTTCCCCCCACTCTAAAGAATTGGTTTTTGGTGGATGTCTTCTATGTGGACAGTTTATTAGAATTGTTTGTGCAGGTTTGTTCCGGGGATCCTTTGGTTACAAGCACGTGGTTGGTGGTTCTTGACCAGGATCGTTGGCCGGTGGTGTTTTCAGCTTTGGAGGAGCATGTACAGCTGTTGAAGGTGCTTTGGGAATCTTTGTGTGCGCATTTGTTTTGCAAGCGAAAACTTTCCAAAGATGCAGTAGCTACTTTGTTTGTCGTGTCACAGCGACTCATGTCCGGAAATACTTCTGCGCTCAGAGTGCAGAACACCATGGCGCAAGCGCAGTCGGATGACGCGGCCATCCCGATTCTGGACACTCCAGAGCTGAAGCGGAAGTTTCTCGACTCTGTGCCCAGCAACGTTTCGACAAGGTATTTTTTTTCGGGTCCAATATGTCAGGCCAAAACGAACGGTGTGCAAGAAGTAGATGTTGGTAGAACGGGTTGGAGTTCGCAGAAGGCACTGAGTGAATACCGGATGGCGAGGTTCTCGATGATTAGTTTGTCGAGCAGTTCGGATGGCCTGGAGGAAGAGTGCGGGCAGATTATGGACTCTTCATCTGAGAGCTTGAGTCCTCCTCACCAAAATCGAGACGAAAGCCCACACCAGTTGCGACGAAACTTAGACAATCTTTGGCGTCACAGTGTGCCTGAGAGGCACAAAGTTTAAACATTATCCAAAGTTTCACAAAGTTTTCGCCGTGTTTAGCCTGTGTGCGCTTTTGAACTCAGCGCCGGTCCAGGTGCGATACCAGCAGCGCTGCGGCTGTTGACACATCGAAGAGTTCGAAGACTGTGTTCGAGAGAGCTGTCTTTCTGGAGAACCATGCATTGCGATCCAGTTCCAGCCGTGCACATGTGCGAGCAGAGACTGATGAGATCTCTCAGTTCCGCAATCTGCATCCGCGCCAGTGCAACAAAGCGCCGCTGGTCACCCGGGACAGAAGGCTTTGCCAGCGACAAAGTGGGGACGCTGCGCCCGACCATCGTGCAGTCGTGCCTTGCGACCGCGTGTGTTCCGCAAAGGTCCAAGGGCTGGCCACGCTGCCCTGTTTGTTGGCTGCGTGTGTTGCAGATAATTTTGTGGGTTTGGAATGTGGGAAGTGAAATAAGGTCCTCTCCAGCCTAGTATACATGTTTCAAGTGGGAATCTGAGGTGCTGCAGCAAGTGGTTCCAGATGAAATGCGACTTCAAACTGCTGCAGAATGCTGAAGACGTCAAGTCTTGGCCGGCGCGCTACTTGCGCGAGGCAATGGAGAACTGTCTCAAACGAGCGGGCAAGGAGTGAAGCATCCAACGAGAACTTGTCGTCGTGAGAAAAGTACAGACGGTATGCTGGGCGTGGAACATGGTCCGGTCCATCTCAGTTCTTCGATTTTGACGATGTGGATATGTATATATATATATAGACCATTAGACCATATGTATTCTATCTACGATATATATATATATATGTGGAGTCACTTCGGAATCACGCATTTTGACCGCGGAATTCAGAGAATGACGTTCAATGCGCGGAGCAGGGAAGAACCACAGATGAACAAGTGAGACGCTAGATTTTGGTGGTCCGTCCTCTTCCCCAGTATAGGTTTAGATATATGAGAGGTATATGAATAACTTCCTGATACACATATCCTTGGGTGGGTTCCTTTTGCGGTTCTTATAATGATATCTTCTCGGTTCTTCTATGAGATATGGTGGTTCCCGTCTTCCTCTACTCTTGATTTGAGAGATTGGAATGAAAGCAGAGTTGGTTTGGAAGTTTTTTCGAGGAAAGATCAGCGCGCAGGAAATATCGGCACATATGAAAGGTGACGTACACCTTTTGATTTCTTGCAACGGAAAGAAAAGGTCTCAAAGAAACCCTCGGAACAAAGATGTTTTCGATTGAAATGCATTTTGTGGGCTCAACGATTTGAGCGTCGGTGAAGGCTACTTTCGGCGGCTGTTCACCTTTTTCCCGCAATGAAGAAACCTGCTGCGAGTCGCTCACTTGGACGCCAACAGCACCGATGTTCGGCGTGTGGCCGATGTGGTCACAGGATTAACACCTGCAAACACCCTGCGGCTGAGAAGATTCGCCAATTGTCAGCTCAGCTCCGTGCCTTGAACAAGGGGACCTCCCAAAAGAGAACTGGTGTGATTCGCAAAGAGAACAAACAGAGGAAGAGCAAACAAGACAAGAACAAGACGGTTGTCAACAAAAGACGAGAAGCTTACTCTGGCGTGGGAAAGGCCAGGACTCCTTCTCCAGCCGAGATGCGAAGGAACGTTCCTACGGAAGATGTCTTGAAGGAAGCGATGGCCAGCGAAGAATGCGCGCAGACATGGTTGCTGCGGAGTGGCTTTGCTTGGAAGCCCAAGATGTGTGATTCTTCGTTGCGTGAGCAGGAGGGCAGGTCTGCTCACTGGCGCTGCAAGAAGTGTGGACAGCGGACGTTGTTCCTCACGCTCCCTTTCTTCAATGGCTTTCGCTGCAGTTGCGTGCTTCTCCTCAACTTGTTCAGAGCCTACGTCAAGGAGGATTTTGCGGAATCGCCGCAAGTGGCCAACTGGGTGCAAGCCACGCGTTCCTCCAAGAAGCAGGCAATGCACTTCATCCAAGTTGCGCGTGACATTGAAGGTCGTGCAGGTGAGCGACTGTCAACCACCTTGACCTTGCGCGGCAATGTTGAGTGCGACGGCACTTCGCTGCGCAAGGAGATTCGAGCCGGCCGAGCCAAACCGAAGTCCTTCTGCGTCCTCATCCTGCTTTCCGACGGGATGGTCCAGCATTGTTGCATCTCAGCTCTCCCCGCGTGCCTCGTCTGGCATTGCATTCCGAAAACTAACCTCCATCGCATGATTTTCCTAGTGCTCCCCTTCTTGTTACTCATTGTGTTCTCCAAAATGAGGTCACTGTATTCGGGAGCAGGCCTCCGACTGAGAGCTTGGCTGAGGTTTCGCAAGAGTCGTTTGCCAGAACAGGTTGCCAGGGAGCATCGGTCAGTCTCTTGGATCTTTGCTGATGGAAACAAGAGTTGGGAATCTCACGCAAAACTTTGGAAAATCCCCCACGCAAAGGTTTGTCATCAAAACAAAGAGTGGACTAGGAAGGTTCCCAAAAGTAGAAACGAGAAGATTTCGAATGTAGCTGGAACGCAGATTGCCGATCGTGGATGGCTGAGCCTGAAACGATTTATTCCGGCATCCTTTCCTAGGAGAATTGGCCGTGGTCATGAGATCAAAGAACACCCAGAGCGCCGTAAATTAGTCATGCAGTACATGTGGCGAAGATCTCTTGGACCATGTGCGCCAACCCTGCTGCTGAACGAGCTGTGCAAAGTCGCAAAGCAGAGCCGCTGAGTGCCAAAAAAAAGTAATTTTGTGATTTCGCAAAACGTCGAATTTTCAGTTGCATGTTTGAAAATGATGCTGGCGCTACAGCGCCGTGCGCATTTTCAAATGGACGGACCTCACGAAACGCCACGGCCTAGTAGTCGTAGTAGTAGTAGTAGTAGTAGAAGTAGTAGTAGTAGTAGTAGTAGTGGTAGTGGTAGTGGTAGTGGTAGTCGTAGTAGTAGTAGTGGTGGTAGTAGTAGTAGTAGCAGTAGTATTCGTAAAAGTAGTAATAAAAGTAGTACTACTAGTCAAAGTAGTGGCAAAAGTAGTATTACTAGGCAAAATAGTAGTCAAAGTGGTAGTAGTAGTAGTAGTAGGAGGAGCAGTAGTAGCAGTAGCAGTAGCAGTAGCAGTAGCAGTAGCAGTAGCAGTAG